AAATCTATTACTTTATTTATTCGAGTCTTTCAATTCATTAAAAGAGCGACTTATTTCAATATTTCTGTTTTGTTTTCTCATTTCCAACGTTAGAAGTAATGTTCTTGGAAAATGTGGCAGAATCATGCGACTGCATGGTGAAAGGCTATTCTGGAGTTTAAGATTTCACAACGGCGACGTGTGGTAAAATGTTGCTGAAAAAAACGTTATTTATTTTCCTCTAAGTTTCTCACCAATACCTCGATGTGTTAACCATTTCTGATGGTACGACATCTTAACTTCGGCATAACATGGGAATGTGGTGACAAGTTCAAAGTAAAAAAGGTGACTAAATTGCTGTGGAAGTAACCTTGTTGAGAGAAGGTATTAGTTGGTGATTTCACGTCTTTTTTCTGTATGGGACGGACGGCTGAGAAATGTACAAAGTTTTAGAACGCACGGGTTTCGCTATTGTTTAGCTCTTTAGATCTTTTGTTTCGCTACGTTCTCGCTTTCGTCGCCGTCGGCGACAGCGACGAAAGCGAGGTCGTGAACTTGGGGGAATGGGGAGAGGTCGCCGTCATAAGGCGCGAAAAATAACCTTAAGAACACTCGTAGAAGATGCAGTCTGCTCCACAACAGGCAATTCTCTTTCTTTCCACTTCTGAACGCGATAATTTTTTTCACGCAAATATGCAATTGTGTCACCTCCACTTCTATTGATTTTTTTTGCTTTGGTTTCACTTCTTCCTCCTCTTCATTCCGCTGCCTTTCCTGTGTTCCGCTCAGGTTTTCTACAGCCTCTGTTTCTCATTTCCGCTGCTTTTGCGTTGTCAGTTTTCTTCTTATCGTTTTCTACGGTGTCTTCAGCTGCAGCTGCGGCTATTTCTTCCAGAGCCTTTTCCAACCTGCTCAAATGATATTCAATTCCACTTGCCTTCTCTTCTTCTTTCATCTTTGTTTTAAATTTCTCTCTCAGCAGTATGTTTCTTTCTCTAACAGCAAGCTCACTGACTTTGAATCTGAAAAACTACAATAATGTTTAGCTTCAGCGATTTTTTCCTTAAACAAACTCGGGTAAATCATCTAGATTAAATTCCTGGTTTAGTTTTAATACTCATTACGAATATGAACTGAAAACAACTTACTAGACTTTCTTATTTGAACTCGTCTCCATTTCAGCCTATTTGAGTAACGAACTTTTGAAGCTGTTTAGAAGGAGAAAGAAACTTCGGTCAGTTTTCGTCTTTGAATGAGTTCTACAACCATTTACATTTGTCACAAGTTAGGAAAAATGTTGACAGTTCATTATATATTGAAAATATACGATAAGTTCATTTGAAATGACCTTAAAGTAAAAGAAACTTACTTACGTTTTTTAGCCAAAAGACAAACACTTCGTTTTGACGTCGCAGACAACACAGCTACGGTGGAAAACTTCGCGCACCGGCTACCGGAAATGCGCCAGCAAATATTTTAAACTTCCGCTCGCCGTCTTCCCTAAAGTCCCTATTTGCGGATCGGTTTACGTCAATCTGTCGGGCCCTACATTAATTGAGTTTTTCAGCCAATTCAGAGGCTTTCATCCCCCATTTCGCCATTATTGATGACTAACACGTCAATGTTGCGTGCGTTTGAACTGGATTCCAGATAATTCTGGGCATTTCAATCGGCCACCCACGCATGTATAATGTAGCCATTCAGAGTATGGAGTTACGGCGTTTTTGTACCGAAATCTGGCCGCTCTTGTCCAGTAGAGAACAATACGAGTCAGAATAGGATTATCATTTTGCATGTTCACCTTCAACTACCTCGAATACATAGAGATTATTCCATGGAAAGTGCGTACGAACGAGTTTTATTCACGGGTTGCGATACACCACAAAAAAAATGAAGAAGTGAGCGCCGCGAATGAATAAGTATTTTGATGCATCGCACTTTCCATGATATGAAGTTTTTATTTCATTCATACTTAGATTTTTTCTCATTGAACAAAAAATTTCAAAGATTGAAAGTAGACGACTTTTCAACGACGAATGTGAAAGAAGACGATTTTATCGAGCTTTTGACTTTTAAAATGTAATAGTGTTATCTATGGAACATGACTTGAATAGTGAAAGTCAAGGTAAAAAGCGTTTGTAGAGAGACCGCCTAAAAAACGCAAAATTTAAATATTAAGATATGGATGCTGAGTATTTAAGGTTGCCTACGACGTAGCTCTTGTGTTTGTCTACATTCCTCTTTGATAAAGAGTCAGTGTAACCATCTGAAATATTTAACGTTTAGTTCAAGTTCAACTCCTGAGGAGGACCACATTTGAAAGCATACATATGATGTCATTGTTTGTTCTCAGCCTTGCTCTAATGGTTTCTCAGAGTGGTATTTTGTCGGCTGAGTTTCCTTTTCTAAAGAAGAAAATGAATCCACAAAAATTCATAAATCATATTTAGCTCAACACCTGTGCTGGGTTGTGGAAGCAGGCGAAGACGAGCAGCGGTGATCCTGATTGCTATCGTTGCAGCCATACTCCCCGAAATTGTCTTCCTTGTCGATGAGTCCTCCTGCTCCGCCATCAAATTCACATCCCCTCTCAATGCTATCACAAACTCTTATGTGCCAGGATGCCTCCTCTGACTTCTCCAATTTTTACTTTTCTCTTCAATATGAGGCAAATACTTCCACCTTTATATCACTCAAAACAATTAAACTAGAAGAGACCAGAAACAATGAAAAGAGCTCGCCATGAGATGTTTTTCATCGAGAAAGATCGACACTTACAGTTGGATGTCAACGCTTGTTGTCTCCACAATTAGAAGGAAAAAAATTGACCACGGTATTTCCGTATGTTTCCAAGGAGAGTTGAGTGTGATTCAGTTGAATAGCCATTTTTTTCTTTTAGTACTCCTCAGAAGTGTCTTAGTAGCAAAAAAAAAAAGAGGAGTTTAACTTTTTTTTTCTTTTTTTTCTTTTTTTAAATTCGTGGGAGGATATACGTCGCAATGTGTCTTTTAATTATCTTTAGAATAGTGATCACAAAAAAAACAAGTAATTTCACAAAAAGAAGCGGTAGAGACCAGAGACAGACAAAGGAGATCGCCAATAGCCTTTTAATCTTTAAATTGTCTTTCATTCAGAAATATAGATACTTACAGCTAGGTGACAAAACTCATTCTCTCGCTATTGAAAATTTTCCTTCGTTTCCATAGAGGAATTGACTTTGTTACAGTTAAAAGAGGTAGTTGAACACGAATTATGAATGATTGGCTCCAGCTCTTTATTTTTGGCTGAACTCTCTATAAAGGAGTCCACAAATGCAAAGGTTCAAAAACTGAGAAACAGTCCCATTGGAAATTACGTCACTCAACCTCCTTACTTTTGTATCCGCCACCTTTAATGATATTTCAACTGGGTTTCTTTTAGGTTATTTGTATATTAAAGAAGCTGAATGTTTGGAATGACTTTTTTAAGCAGTATCAGTACGCAAAGAGAAAAAATAGAAAAACAATTTAAGGAAACGGTACAGAACCACTCAAATTTAATTTACACCACGCACAAAACTAGTGTCCCTGGTTGGCACAGTGTCGTTTCTCAAAAAGCGCTTCATCTTCATCCCTTGGGTCTCCATCATGCTGTTTAATATGGACAAGTTTTGCTCAAAATTTGCCCAACAAAGCGACGTTTACAGCCAAGTTGGATCGTTACGATCGTGTCTTTGTCTGCAGACAAATTTCACCCATTTTTCTCTCATAATGTGGATCGTTCGGGAACTGAAACATTCTATGCCCGGTGCCGGAACGATCTATTCTGACAGCTTTGCTGGTCAGAGCCGGGGCACCAGCAACACAATATCGCCCTCGTTGCCGAATTCGACTGAATTCGATTTTATGTTACCAAAGTGATGTCAGCGGTTTTTTGTCAAATGGTACTTTGGCCGCGCAATTCGAATACCTTTTTTGAGGGGAAAATAAGATGATGTCTCACATTATGTACAACAATCCTGAATGACGTTTACACTTCACTGGTGCTTCTCTTGACAAACACTTGCTCCGACAACTACACCTACTTCATCTCCTACATTTTAAACATTTCAAAAATTGTTCTAAGAACAAATGTGCAATGTTATTAAGTAAGCAGTGATCCTAACGAAGCACTTAAGTACCTTAGTCCTTGTCAAAGAGAGGCTGTTGAGGGCTTCTCACAGTTATGTATCGAGTACCTAATATTAAAATCAAGCAGAGCTGTACATATTTATCACCAAGGAGAAATTACTAATATCACTGCCACTAAGTAAATACCATTTCTCCTCACTGTACGGATTTTTAAAGCGAAATCAAGAAACCTAAACTTAAAGCTTGGTTTACAAATGATCAAACTAACGAAGCCGAAGCTAATTTTCAAAAAAAAGAAAAGTAAAGTAAAAGTTAAGAGAAAACGGTTGATTGACCGAGTCAAGAAAATGTCGTCCTACGACGAGAAAACATGTCACTATTAAATTAATAGCGTACGGAGGTATTTAAACATCTCTGAATCTAAACACAAGCATTTCAACTTACGATTACTCACTTGCTTGAAAATAATTAGCATAAATCAACTAATGGTGAGCTCTGAATGTGTTTTCAAAGACGAATATAAAAAAAAGGCCAATTTTATCGACCTTTCACTTTTAAGATGTAAGTGTATTATCTATTGAACATTACATGAAAAGATGAAAGTGCAGGTGAAGAGTGTTTGCTCAGAGACCGCCTAATTCCTTCATTTATTGAAATATGGACACTGTGTATCTAAGGTTTAAGGTTGCTTATGTCGTCACTCTTGTGCATGTCTGCATTCCTCTATGATAAAGGGTCAGTGTAACTATCTGAAATATTAAACGTTTAGTTCAAGTTCAACTCCTAATTGGACCAAACTTTGAGGCACTTGATGTCATTGTTAGTTCTTAGCCTTGCTCCGATGTTTTCCTACTTTCAGTTGGCTGTCTTTCCTCTTCTGTGAAAGGAAATAAATTTGCAAAAAGGTAACTCGTCACATTTAGCTCCAAACCAATGCTGCGTTGTAGAAGCAGGAGAAAACGAGCAGCGGTGATCCGGATTTGAGAAATTTTTTTCAAATTTTCCGAAATTGTTTTCATCGGAGACTCCACCTGGTATTCCATTAAATTCACATCCATTTTTTATGCTATTGTAACTTCTTATGTGCCAGGACACATCTTCCTTCTGTTTTGTGAAAGCGGTGCAATTAGAACAATAAATTCCTCGGATATTGACATATTCGTACATCTGGCAGGTGTTCCAGGTACCAAAAATGTCATGACCTGCCAACTTAGCGCGTGCGTAGTCCGTATACTGCAGGCCATCCGTAGAAAAGTTACAAGTTGCTCTCAGATGTGTAGAGTGATTAGCAAGATACTGCATCTGTGATAAGGATAGTCGGAACTCGTTCCAATTTACTTCCCCCTCTTCAATATCAATCTCAAGGTTTTTGCCAAACCCTGCATAATTGAAGGTATTTCTCTTGGAAAAGGAAAACGATTGTATTAACGTCCATACAAAGCCAGGTTCAGACTGCAAGTCACAGTAAACAGAAAACCGTTCATTGTCTGAATTTGAGATGTCGTATTTTCCTGATGTCGAGGCACCGTTCTTAGCTATGTCTTTGCAGCTTCTCGGATGTTTCATCTTCTTCTCACACAGCTGACCAGAGTATGTGTTAGGACAGGTACAGTTAAACCTGGTGCTGTGAGTGTCACAAATCTCCTGACATACCCCTCCATTGAGACAAGGATTGGTGCGGCAGCATCTGTTGATGCAATGATGCTTCTCTGGTGCGTATCTGTCTCCACCCTACAGCAAGATTAAAGTAATTTTTTAGCTCACCATGCTCATCGAATTGGGTTGGCATGTACTTTTGAGCAACCATCGACAAATCTCACCGGAATCGGATCGAATTGATAACAAACAGTGCGAGCAAAGTACGTATGCGTGCAACACATAGCGGGGTGCCAGAATGGAGATGAAATGTCCCTCGAAATTAGATCTGTAATGCAGTAATACAGCAATGGTTAAGTCAGTAATGTCTTTAAGAAATTTGTAGTCGCTTCTGTTCTGCCGTTCCCTTCGCATTACAACATGGCCGTTAAGGAAAAAGTTTGCGAGAGAGAGAATGGACCCAATCTTCTCTCAGTCAAATCAGTTTGTTTTTGTTTTGTCTAGACCAATCATATCGCAGACAAAACAGTGTGCACAAAATTGTCTTTGGCCCGGACTGACATATAACACATCTCTTTCTTAAGGAGTACCAGAAAACTTGATCATGTGGGAATATTTATTTTATTTACGAAAGTTGATAAATAAATGAATAAGGAATTAAATGAACAGTGTATCTCACCTTCACCGTGTAGCTCCTCACCAAATCGTAATAATTTCCTCCTTGCATCCATTTCATCGCCGCTGGCTCCATGTCTTTATTAGCAACGTTAAGTTCGCAGTTATTTTCTTTGGAGCTAGTGAAATAGTTCATAGATACACACAGGCAGTCATCTTTGCACTTCAAGTGACACTGGATGGCATTGGGCACTGTTAATCTTTGAAACACGTGACCCTTAAGAATGTGATTATGGACGACATCTTCATCGATAGCAAACTTGAAGTTTTGACAATTCAACGCTTTCTTTGCCACAGAGGAGAGTGTCAAATTGAATACAAACAGCATGACTTGGAGGTATTGTACGATGCCCATAGCAATGGCACTATTAATATGAAGAAAGAAGAAGATACATGATTATTACCTCTGACAAGCATGGGGTAATCTGGAACGAAATGAATCGATATTTCGGTCTCTTTCTTAAAAGCGACCTCCATTGATAAAAATTCATGATATCAAACATTTGCTCATTTGTGGAAAATGCATGGATGCATTTTTCTGATTAACTATGAAATTGGTTCCCTTAAAGCGTTAACCATAATATATATATTTTTTTTAATTGCAAGAGAAAGAAAATAATCGTTAGCAAAAAAATTGCCAAATTTTGGTCGTTAGCCGTAAGACCCATTACCATATTAGACCTTCTTCTGATTCAGTAAACGTTTTGGAAGACAGAAAAGAGTGTATTCGTCTCGCTGTGAAGTCGATCTTCCCTACAGAATCACCTATTTGCGGAATTTCGAAAAGAAGACTAGGCAAACATTCAAGCCCAAACGAAATTGCTCCTCGATGGTTTCTGCAAGGAATACTCCACAAAAGGAGCCGTAAACGTTCCCTGCAGTTTAACCTAAGCTTATTTTTCCATTTCGAGGCTAGAATGATCGGAACGAGACAAAATTAACTTTTACTCGACGGTTTCGCTAGATAGCTGGTAGTAATCCGAATGATAAGATCGACACGCCGTCCCGGCATTCCAGGAGAGAAATCAAGGTTGAAGTACCCGCAGCCACCACAATCTTTACTTTCCATGAATCGAGTAAACATTTTAAAAGATAAAAAGATCTGTCAAATGTAAAATTCTTCAGTTTATTTTAATAACTTTCGATTCTAACTCGTCACATTAACTAGTTTTGGTCTCACTTTTTATAACCAACGAAACAGGTATTTGACAAGGGAAAAATTAGCATAACACGTCACGCAATACATCAGGTTGATTTTGATGGCCGCAGGGAAATGTTGAGTTTGTCACTCAAAACCGCTGTGTTCCGTAACAGCGTTTAATCATTTATGATGGAAACAAATTTGCAGAAAGGAGGGCCAGTTCATCCTGTTCCTTATGCAAATCTCGGGAGAAACTGCAAGAATTCCTTCAAAGTACATGCCTGTTGTTTTGTAAATAACACTGTAACGTATTTTAATGTCTGACCAGAGTGCCAAATTTTATTCTTTAATTTTGATCTTCTTCACACTGTGCGTATTTGATGACCTGATGTTTCAACGAAAATTATCGAGAAGGCCCGTTATAATCACATTTATTTACTTTGTAAGTCACGCAAGCGCTCTAGCGTCACGATCGATCACGCTTACGCAACGTTTTAGGACAACTCGGCATCTAACCTCCATTCAGTTGTTATGAAAACCTAAAATCCCTAGCGTAAAAGATAAAAAAACCCAGTTTGAACATTCCAAAGGAGATCTTAGTAAATTTTCAGAATTATGCAAATAATCTTTGACACGAGCGCAATTGAGAAAATTAAACACATGGATTTGCGTTGTTTTAAGATGTTGGTGGATGAAAATTAGAGATATAACCGCGGGTTTGAGGCAATCTGTAACATCATTGGTCTATAAGCTATTCACTGACATGCCTTTTTAGCCCGATTTACGCCTGCATTTTGAGAATTCTTTTGAACAAATAGGCGAATTTTTGATACTCAAATTAAGGTCGATATTCAAATTAAGGTCGAAGAGGAGGGTCTCCTCTGATCACGCTGGTTTGAAAAATATTTCAGGTGAAGTTTCCATATTTTGTCTGTGAACTAACTGAATACATCTTGTAACTTGTAGCAAGATGGAATCCCGTGTGCTACATTATTGCAGTCGCTGTGCACAAAATCTGTGAAATTCACACTTTCGATCGCTGATCTAGCCAAAAATCATTTTTTGGCTTGTGGCAACGCAAAAAAAAAGAGAATTGGATAACAACTACACTATTCGGAAACATGTGTCTTAAACCCTTTTCATGGGCAAAAAAGAAAAGAAAAACTTTTTTTCCGACGGGAAGTCGAGAGGACTGCTCTTAGCGAGAGTGGCACCTTACAAAGATGCCCGTGTGGAGGCCGTTAACAAATTAAAAAGAAAAAAGATCTGCGTATGACTTTTCCACGGTGTGCTGTGATCTGAAGCATAAAAAAAATTAATAAAAGTTGGAGTCCCGTAACAGCTGACAACATATATAAAAACTACTTACCAAAAGAAACTCAGTGACATTGAATTAGACATTCAATACTGGACTACTGTTTAGACCATTGTGATCTTTCGCCATAATGTATATAACATGCGATAAACAAATAGAACCCTTTCGCAAATACCAGATGCTTCAGATGTGCGCGAAAACTCTCACATAGATGACATTCAACAAAAACACTACAGTTCTCTCTCCAAATTTTTCCACCCGTTTTATTGCGAAAAGTTGCGTAATATATATCGATTTTTAAGATAGAAAGCCATGTGATATAAGAAAGTTTTCAAGCCGGCATATACGTTATGAACGATGTCTGATGAATCACACTTAAACCTAGATGTAAACATGCATTGGTTAGATAATGTTTCTTTCCAAAACAATTTATTGTTGATATGATTTCTTCAGTCTGGTAACTGCCAACGGAAAATTCATAATAATTATAGCTAAGAGTTAGAGTGCACTTCGTGATTAGGGAGTGAATTGAGTAAATTTAGCTTCAAATCCCTTTCCACACTTTACATGGCGTCTCACGGTTTTCCTTGAAAAGAATTATGGGGAAGAAAATGACGCTTGCACCTTGCACCTTGCACAGCATTTTCTGTAAAATCACTTTACTAATTTAATAGATAAACCGTGATATTATTTTCATCTTAAGATTTCTCCCTTTTATAATATACCTTGAGTGTACTTGTATTTGGTTTGGTGACCTAAAGCTTTCTACTCCGCCGTTGTTAAAGTCCTGTGAAAATTTTCCTACATAAACTGGTCATTCGGCTGGCATTGGATGCTTAAACGCAAACAGTTATATTAACATTTTTATCTAGATTAAAAACAGATTTTATCTTGTTGAGCTGGCTGTCCAAATAGGAATTATCTCAACTTACCTCCTCTTTCCGGCCTCCTCTGCCTTTTCCAATTTTGGCTTTGCTCCTCGATAAGCGGTGAAGACTTTCACCTTTTTATCACTGAATACAATTAAACTTCATAATTAGAAACGGAAGAGCGCAGAAACAAAGAATGGAGGTTGCCATCACCAAAATAAAGATACTTACAGCTGGGTGCCAAAAGTTATTGTCCCACTATTAAAAGGAAAAAATTTCGTACGTTTCCACAAAGGAAATAATTTTGCTACTGTTAAATAGCTTGAAAAAGGCAGGTGAAAATTTTACATGAATTATCAATGATGGTCCATCCGGTTCCTGCTTTTTAATTTTGGCTGAACGCTGATAGAGGGGCTCACAAATAAAATTTCTTAACTTTAAAAATTTAAATTTAAATCTCTTAACTTTAAGAAGTAATATTGTTCTTTACGCTCCTATAAGCATCACTCTTCTAACGTTTGGCTAAAAGAAACAAAAGACTGCTATGAATTCTATGATTATCTCGCGCGTGTTTATCAAGGTTTGTCAATTATTAAAGACTAACTATTTATACCTCTGAAAGGACCTCAATCTCATACCCCTCTATTCCGATAACGGCTACAACTCTGGGGGAAGATCTTGCCTTTCTGAAAAACATAGTCTATTTTCTTTACGGGTTGATATATGAACACAAAGTTCACGAGTTTTTTGACCTTGCCCTTGGTTTTAAATTCAAGTTTAATAGAGTTCCGACTCCCTCCTGGGCTTTTATAATTCTGACCGTTTATTCAAAGTGTTTTTAAGAATAAAAATGTGGCTAAACGAAGATGTTGTAGACATGTAGACATGTGTACTTTGTCATAAGGTTTTAGAATTGTTACGAGACGTTTTCAAACTAATCGACTTTCAGTAACTTTGAAGGCGATTATCTTTCTCAAAATGAAGTGGAACTTTGTATTCGAAACATTTTATTTGATTAATTTTTATGGCTGAGTTGCAAGCGTTCCCCTACGACCGAAAAGTTAATTCAGGATACGGAAAGAAAGTTTGCTTAAATATGAGTGAACTGTAAATACGAGCCTGTTTTGAAAGGTTATGTGTCTTTTTGTGGCCATTGTACAACAAATATAGGCTGATATTTGGATCAGAAAATGTAGGGGTACACTTTCAGGTTGTTTAATGGCACGAATAATTTTCATTTTCTTTTTTTTCTGAGTCTTTAAAGGAGAAGGTGTTATTAATTTTTTATTAGCCTTTCCACGGCTTAAAGATTTTGAAATAATTTGAAATTTTTTGTTTTTAATTTGTTTTCTCGAGTTTGTTCGACAATTCACTGCTTGCCTCTAAATCTCTCTTTTCCCTTTTCTTTCATCCGTGAGAAAGCGCGAGTCTCCAACTCGAGTCTGCCTGAGGTAAGAAAAAAATTTGAATTGAGAAATGATAAGCGAGAATTTCGTATGCGGCTATGCTACTTGGAATTTGAAATTATATTTTCATATCTTTTTTACCTAACAGTAACTTATGACATAGATCCTCTAACCTTTCGCGAAATGTCAGCCGTAGAATGTTTACGCCGTTGCAATGCAGTCGCGACACCAAATTGTCACAAGACTTTTGTAGACCAGCGACCTTGTGGGAAAACTCCTCACCTGGGTAAATCGAAACTTTTATGCGCTGATAATTACTTTCTCATTATTAATGCATGAATAGGAACGTTCGAGATCTGTAGTTTATGATAATTATTGTAATTCAAAAAAATGTTCTGTTAGCTCGGATTAAAACAGTCAGACGTTTCTCTTAAAACGTCTCAATCTACATCACTTTTTTCAGTGGACACCGCCCTGTAATTAAGCCTGAGACACACAATTTGGCATTTTAGTAATTAGAGCATGTCTTGAAATGAACTATTGTTTTTAGGTGAACGAAATGGAAATAACACTAAAACGCTGTTTGTAGGCAGTTCACAAGCCAATAACGGAATATGCATATCT